TGTTAACGTGTCTCATTTCTACTGTTTCTCACACGAACTGTTTTTTCTCCTCATGTGCTTGGTTTTCTTTGTATCCTGGGCAATATATTTGAGAAAATATTCTTAGAAATAACTTTAGACCTAGAAGAATGTTATCGTTTGCCAGAGAAGAGTTTTGTTTGTACTCTACAAACAAAATTTATTTATTTATATGTGGGGCTAAGAATTGAGTCCAATGCCTCACACATGCTAGGCAAGTATTCCACCACTGAGCCAATCCCAGCCCCTTAACCTGGGAACATCTTACTCCTAAATTCAAAGAGCTTGCATTTTCTGGGCAGCTCAGGTTTGCAACATGCAAAGGTACTATAGTATTTTGTGAACTATCTATTTGATCTTTCTATTTCCTGTCATCATAACTCCCCAAATCCTTAACTTTGAAATGATAGTGTCTTTTTTTTAATATTTATTTTATAGTTATCGTCGGACACAACATCTTTGTTTGTTTGTGGTGCTGAGGATCCAACCCGGGCGGCAAGCATGCCAGGGAGCAAGCTACTGCTTGAGCCACTTCCCCAGTGTCTTTTTATGCAAATGAATTGACTGATGGCTGGATGTCTCTAAGTAACTTCAGATTCAGATTCGTGACACCAGAAAGAACAAGGCAGGATTAGAGACTTGGGGTTTTTCAGCCCTACCCTCCAAACTCTGGGAAGAGGAAAAGCTAAAGGTTAAGTTGATAACCAATGGCCAATGATTTGATCAATCATGTTTATGTAATGAAACCTTTGTAAAAACCCAAAAGGACAGCCTTCATAGAGCTTCCAGAGTAACCTGCAGAGGTTCTTGGAGGGTATAGAAACTCTTCATCCTTTTGTTCATAGCTTGCCCTGTCTTTTCATTTGTATCCTTTATAATACTCTTCATAATAAACCAGTAAGCATGCTTTCTTGAGTTCTGTAAACTGCTAAAGCAAATTAATCAAATTAGAGGAGGAGACTATAAGAACCCCAACTTATGGCTGGTTAGTCAGAAACACATGTAAAAGAACTTAGGGCTTTTGACTGGCATATAAAGCAGAATAGTGGTAATCCTGGGGACTGAGTCTTCAACTTGCGGGATCTGATGCTATCTGTAGGCAGTGATAGAATTGAATTAGGGGACACATAGCTGGTATCTGTTGCATAATTGATTGTTGGTGGGAAGAAATACACATACTGAGATCACAGAAGTAATCTGTGTTGTGAGTAAACAACTTGAATTTACTTTCTCTATATCAACAGACCTACTTTTTGATTTCTGAACAGTCCTGCATTCTGATTCAATAGTACAAAAATGACTTAATAGAATATTAGATCTTTTTATGACTTAGGAAAATGGAATTTTTTCTTTTGTTTACTTTATTTGGGGGAATTGTCTTTGATTTAAAATATTTCAATTTTGGGGGCTGGGGATGTGGATCAAGCGGTATCACGCTCGCCTGGCATGCATGCAACCCGGATTGATCCTCAGCACCACATACAAAAAACAAAGATGTTGTGTCTGCCAAAATCTAAAAAATAAATATTAAAATTCTCTCTCTCT